GAGGGGACGTGGGGTCAGGAATGCAGGGCAGGGCGGAGCAGCCAGTGGCTACAGCAGGATTCTTCAGGCGGAGGAGCCAGGAGTGCGCAGCCTGGGTCCCCCAGCCCACAGCGAACCTGGGGGCTGACTCTGCCCCCACCAGGCCCCTCGACCCACTCCCCGCCCCATCATCACCCACCCAACCTCCAGGGCAGAGGCTCTCTGACTCCCCACACCCCCTAATAGGAGACTCAAACTGTGAGACTCAAGCTGTGCGTGAAGTGGGCCATGCCCCCTGGGCACAGGGTCCCCATTCCCACCACCTCCACGGCCAGAGAAACTCGGAGGATTAGAGAGCCTGTGGGTACAAGATGTGCCTCCCCTTTGGCCTCAGAACTCCACTTCCAGGAATTTATCCCGAGAGAATAACTGGGCGAGTGTTCGGGCACGTCCCGAATGGGATGTTCAGGGCCCACTGTCTGCAATGGCAGAACCTGAGGAACAGCCTGACTGCCCTGCACCAGACGGATCCAGGTGCTCAGGCCACCGGACGCTGTGCCGCCCGGCCACGGTGTGCTGGCATGGAACACAGGTGCCCCCACAGACAGGACACGACCGATGGGCAGTAAATGCCTACTGTGTAGGTGAAAAGGCCAGGGTCCACACACAGGATGTGACTGTAAGTCGCAGTGGCATTACAGATAATTTTTTAGTTTTTCAGATTTACTCCATCAAGTATATATTAGTTGCATGGGTTGGCCCAGCTGAGGCCAAGCCCCCGCCTTGGGGCACCGGCCAGCGAAATCACAAGTAAATGAAAGCCCAGGGCAGGTCTGCAATCTGCCGGGAGGGATGCGGGCTGCAGGGGAGGGCGGTGGCCCTCCTGGAATTACAAGGTCTCGGGCATAAGGCTCACAGGCTCTTACAGACAGTCTCTCCAGCTCCCCACTGTGCGGACTAGAACCGTCTGTACCTGTCTCAGTTACAACTGAGTGCCGGCAGATCTCAGCAGTTCAATAAATGTTTGTTGAATGACTTAATGAAGTCTGACAAAGGCTAAGAGATGGACTGTCTGGACCAAGAGGCAAGCACACTCAACAGGTAGACTTCCTCCCCGCCTGTCAGCCTGCGGGCTCTCAGCTTAGGGATCCCGGCCCTGGGTACCCATTAAAATCACCTGAGGAGCTGTAAAGCCATCCAGCCCTCAGGCCCCGGCCCTAGAAATGTTGATACAGTTGGTCTGACATGGGACTTGGGAGCTGGACTTTTTTAATACCCCCAGGGAATTCTCAGGCACAAACTACGCCCCGCGGAAGACATCGGGCTGAAGGAAAGCAGGGCCTTGCCAAAGTCACCCAGAGTTAAGAGCAGGCCAGCCATGCCCCCAGCTCCTGGCCTCGGGGTCCACACTGGGCCTCTTCCGCACCTGATGCTCCGTGCCACTGAGCCAACTCCGGCCCCTGACAACGCTACGAGGGAGTGATGCTCACAGTCCTGTCCTTGGCAGCCCTGCTCAGCCCCGGCAGACATGGCTTGTAGGGAGTCAATCATCGCATAGTTGGTCTTCCTCGTTTCCTGCTGCTGCTACTTTTCCCCGCATTCTTGTCTTTTCCAAAGAACCCTGCCTCCGCCACATGTTCTGGTCCTGACCCCAGTGCCAACCTTCCTGGGGAAGTGGATCCGGGTACGAGGTGGGCAGGGAACCCCGAGTGGGAGCCCTTACACCCTGCTCCCTGTGCTCACCTAGCCCTGGGTGATACAGGCCCAGGGGCCCTGAGAGCCCCCAAATGGTGCCCCAATGCCCAGGAGTGGGTGGGCAGAGGCACCCTGACCAGTGCAGGGAGCTCAGCTTCAAGACCAGCATCCGCTGCGGCCTGGGGCCACCCCTCGGAGCTCTCAAAAGGGACTGGATGTGGGACGCAGTGGGGCCCATGCTGCACACTCGGGCCGGTTCCCGGTTCCCGGTTCCCCGCAGCCTCACCGGAAGCCACATCCAATCCCCCACCTCTCACTACCCCATCAGCCGCTCCAGCCTGGCCTCTGCCGCCTCCACCTGGCTGAGGGGCGAGGCAGGAGCCCTGCTTCCCCTTCCAGGCCAGGCCTCGGGCCGCTCCAGCATCCACTCCCAGACCCTCCCCAGCCTCCCTCCCGAAAGTTAATGTACAATCTTCAGTGGGAACCCTCATGATCCAGGCGGACCCAACTGCCTCTCTGCCTGGCCCTGCAGGGCTGGCTGCAATCTGAAAGCTGCCCAGACTCCCTCCTCTAGCACTGCCCCCTCCCACCTGCCAGCGGAGCCAGCCCCTCTGCCCTCAAGGCCACTCCTGTCTCCAGCACATTCGTTTCATCCAGCCCGGGCTGGCCTGGGAACTCAGTCAAGTCAGCCTCCTGGGCTCCCAGACCCGGGCACCCACAGCCGGGCTGGAGGCAAGGGGCCAGGGTGGAGGAGAGACCGAAAGGCCTGGTGAGGACGGAGCAGAGTCACTGAGAGAAATGCCTTCACACTGTAAGGCAGCGGCCGCCAACCTTTCGGACCTCACGGACCACCAGTGCTGGAAGGCACCCAATCCCCGGGGCCAGCGTGCAGCCTCCGCTCAGCGGGACAGGCGGGTCTGAGATTCTGTTTTCCGCAAGCTTCTAGGTGTGTGATGAGGCCCCACCAAGCACCAGACGTTGAGTACCAACGACCTGGTGCTTAGAAACATTCTTTCACTGACTCCAAGCTCTGAGGAGCTGAGACACAGCCCCTCATCCGACCCCGAGTGCCCAGCGCCCAGCCCAGTGCCTGTGGACATGCTGATGGACGAAGGGTGTAACTAAGCAGTCAATCCTGGCGAAGTGCCCAGCATTAGGTGGCCATACAAAGAGACCTCCAACTAATTGTAAAACAACACAATTAACACCAGAGAGGAGTTTGCACAGAGCAGTGCGAAGCACAGAGGAAGAGGGGAGAGTTTTGCTGGGTTGGGGGCAGGGGTGGGTCTCTCAAAAAAGAGGCCATTTTGCAGTAGGTCTTAGAGGATGGTCAGACCTACCCAGGCGGGCAACGCGGGCAAAGGTAAAGACCTGTGAGTGTGGGGTAGGTCCAGGAACTGGGAGCAGTGTGGTTCACCTGGAGGGTGGTTTGAGGGGGAGGTGAACAAGCCCCAAAATTTAAGAATTGGGGTCAGTAAATGCTGGTGCTGGAATGCCAGGCGGGAAGGGTGGGCGCCCGCCAGTGGGGAGTTGGAGCTGCAGGCAGTGTTTGCACAGGGTATCTCGGCCTGAGAACAGGGGCTCAGGGAGTCACCCGTCCTGCGAGGCTCAGCGTGGACTGAGGAAGCAGCCCCCCGGGCCGGAAGGGCCCAGGTGAGAGGCAGCAACAGAGAGAATCCCTGCGAGGGGCTGAGGCCTGTGGGGAGGCAGGTGTTTCCCTTGATTTGCTAGATCTCATGGGCCACTGTGTGCTTGGCCCACTGTGTGCTAGGCCCACTGTGTGCTTGGCCCACTGTGTGCTAGGCCCACGGCGTGCTTGGCCCACTGTGTGCTTGGCCCGAGCAGGCACAAGGCATCAGAGAAGACGGTCATTTCCCTAAAACCTCCAGTGCTGTGCAGACAGGAGGCCGGGGCTGCCACCATCTGCCCCCACAGCCCACCCTCTCTCCTCCCCCTCCGCCGGTCAGAGGTGTCTACTGTGCGCCTAACCTGAGGGGCAGCCAGAGCCTGGTCATTGCTGGGGGGCTGGGGGGTGCAGCCCAGATGTGCCTTTATCCCATCCTCAGGGGGCCTGAGCAAAAGAAGGGGGTGCGGGGGAAGGGGGCGTCCTGGAGGAGGCGGAGGTGAGAGCAGGGTCTGCTGGAACTCCCAGTCGCCCCCGCAGAGCCAGCCCTCCAGCCCCCTTCCAGTTAGTCGCTACCATACGAAGCTAAACTCCCAACAGCCCTGGGAGACAGCAGGGTGAGCCAGGCCAGGTGAGAGCCGGGGCTGAGGGGCAGGGGCTGTCCTCCAAAACCCAGCGAGGAGGCGCCCGGTGGCTGGCTCGGGTCCGGAGGAGTAGGGTCAGCAGAGGACTGGGTTTACCCTAAAGGAGAGGGTGGCTGGGCAGGTGGAAAACGTAACAGGTCCCCATCCTGAAAATGGGGCAAAGGGAGCGGCCCAGGCCTGGCTGGAGAGGTGGGAATCCACCCCACCCCACCCCACCCCACCCCCAGACTCACCCAACTGCTCCCTGCAGAGAACCCTTCCCTCTGCCTACTCCTCCCGCCCTGTGCCAGCCTCAGGCCTGGCCCTCTCCAGGGACTTGAATCGATTCCCTGCTTATCCAGCCCACACCCTGGGGGGTGGCGGCCAGAATTAATTAATATTTGTCAAGTGCTTCAGAGATCCTGGGACCAGAGACCCAGGGGCGCCAGATGAGCTGCGCAGGAAATTGACGGGGAGAGACGGGGAGAAGGGGGGCAGCAGGCCAGGGCCCGGGACGCCTGGAAGGGGAGAGCTGCGAGGGAAGGTGCGACCTCTCACAGGTGCCCCAGGTCCCCAACTGGAGGATTCGCGCTCCGGCGGAGCCGGCCCACCCCCCACAGCTCCGCCCCACCTCCTGAGCCGGTCCGGTCCGGCCCGGACGCCTTTCCCCAGCTCAGGCCCCAGGCACCCACCGGCCCCGCCCGGGACCACCTGCAGAGGAAGTCCCTCCGCCCGCCCGTCGGAGGAGAGGTGCGCGCCGGGGTGGAGGCTGCGCGGAGGAGGCGCCTCCTGCCAACTCAGGCAGGGCACCGGCTCCTACCTGGGCAAACACTGACTTCCTTTCTCTCGGAGCAGAGGCGAGCCGCTCCCCTGCCCTCCATGCGGGGGGACGCTCAGGATCCTCTGCGGGGGGCGGGAGGCAGGACCCACGCACCGGGCCCCAGGCCCCACGGCGCCACCTCCACACCCGCGCCCCCCTCTAGCTCACTCACCCCAAAGTGCTGATGAAGCCGTTGACGGAGCCCTCGGCGTACAGGGAGACGATGTCCCCGATGTGCAGGAAGCTGGACATCTCGCTCATGGTTTCGGCCCTCGGGGGAGCCCGGGCGGCAGGGGTGCGCGGGGGCTCCAGGCGGGGCTCTGTGCCGAGGACCGCGGTGACCGCGAGGGAGGGCAGAGGCGCGTCCCCACCTCAAATCAGGGCGCGTGGCACAGTCGTGCCCGGCTAGTGACCCCCGGATTTTTGATATGTACATTATGTGCTGTTTCCTTTCCTCCTGAACATTTTGGGACATTGTTACCCTATATGAATTACTTTAAAATAATTGTAAGTATGAGTTTTCATTTGAGGTTTTTCCTGACTTTGAAGATTTCTCTTTCTTTTTAATTGATGTCATAGGGGA